ATCAAACATATTGAAAGTGTAACATATCAACATTGCAACAAAATTCAGTGATCACATACATGCAAAAAGGATTATACACAGATGCAATGCAGTAACCAAGTTTACTCTTTCAATAAACCTCACACAAGTCATCACTCGACCCTAAAGCCAACATTCGTCTTACCTCTCATCTTTCCTTTTATTATCATTTCTAGAACACTCTCTTTCAACTATGTCCAAATTTTATCCCAATTAAAACATATTTGATTTTTCACACTTGCCTTAGACATACACATACCACCAATACCAAATATTGACCACAAGCAAAGTATAAACATAATTCATATAGAATGATCAAATAGACTTTTCTAAGGTCACATGCAATTCTAACATTGTAGAAAAGATTGACAACAAATTCACAAAGAATTTAAGACAAATAATTTCTAGGTCTAGCAACAGACAATAGTTATTCCTTCACGGAAACCTCAAACCTAACATCACCCCACACGATGACTTTTAAGGAGAAAAATAAATAATTACCATAACTATAATTTTAACTGCAATAATAAAAGGCAAAGAACATGATACCAAGCAGACCACGTCTGAAGGTCCGTAAGTATCGAGATATGCAAATTCACCACTTTAGGATCATCACTGTTCATCCTAAAGTCACCAGCAATCGTAGCAACACAAAAACAGCACCCGACACCCAACGTCCAAGGGCAAAATCGTCCAACTTTTACTATATTTCTCGAAATTGAAATCTGAAAACACCACAGGGTCCATCTTATTTCTGGAAACATTTTGTTTGAAGACATCATCGCCAAAAAATGATCCACACTCCCTCACGCGCGCTGCTGGCGTTCCCATGCTCTAGCACCGGCAACTCCTACCACGATCCACCCATCCAAGTTCATCTCCGCCTGCACAGTCTACTAGTGATGTCTGTTTTTCCAAACACTTTTTGGATTCACCGAAAAACGCAAAAACATGTCCGAGCAAAATTTTTGAAAACTAGACAGCTTCTGCCTCTAATTTTCAAATCCATTTTTGAGCACTTCCAGCCCGTTTATAGCCCCCAAAAATCACAGATTTATCAACAACACAAGCTCTAATACCAATTGTAGCGAAAATCCCTTGATAAATCTTCATTTCGGGTTCAAAAAATAATCAAACGAACACCGATTTATTTCGACTCATCCCAAAACTTTCACTGCACTTTGGACTGCCCCAAGCTCTCTCAAACTCCACAAAGGAGAAGGGATGGTGGTGGTGATAAGGGGAAGAAAAAGCAACAATGGAGGACTCACTCCAACAACCACCAAGCCGGCTGTCCCTTCACCTCTCTCGGCCCTTCCCTCTCTCAACACTCACTTGCCCACCACCACCAAGAAAACGGCTGCAAGAAGATGGTATATATAAGGTTAGTTTAGATCACTCCAATTGGGGGGACTACCAATTAACCTAAACTAATGATCTAATATCCAACTTCATATTAATCACTAAATGGTCCAACTAACCAAAAAATCATCCAACCCCAACCCGAGCGATCCAAAAGTGTAGTTCATTTTCGAGTCGAGCTAAGTCCATAATGTCGATAAATAATCCAACAACTGTTTTAAATCATCGCTCGGATTATTTGGTATCAATACCCAACAACAATAATTGCAAAATACATGCCCACGGTTAATTGTAACTAATGGAAATTCAAAGATACAAGATTCTAACATGGAATGATTTATGACTTGAGATATTACTTATGACATTTTATTTTCCCAAGGTTGATAATACGACTTTACTGAATTCTTAGTGATGCCTGTCATTCTTTTTTGGAGTCTATCTTTGTTGGCGATTGAAGTTTTATGCATACACAAAATTGCTGCTCATTATTGTACATTCGCACTAAAATATTGAGATTTTACACCTTGTTTGAGTCTATTTTTTTCATCGAAATACATTTTTCAACAGTGATTTGACCTCACTTCAGCCACACATTCTTCAATAAAATAATATTACACGCAAATCCAAAACTTTTCTTTAACCGCACATTTTTCGTCAATACACTATTCGAAAATGCATTTTTGGGCAAGAATGAGGATCGAACGTGTTGTTTACATTATAATTTCGATGTCATGTAGGTTGATTTGAATCGGACAGTAGTGCCTTTGCTTGAGATTGTTTCCGAACCTCATATGAGAACGGGTCTTGAAGCAGCAAAATACGCTACAGAATTGCAGAGGTTAGATAGATATTTGGGAGTGAGCAATGGAAATGTGCAGGAAGGATCACTTTGTCAGTATCTCCATTCGTCCAATCAGGCAGCTAGAGTTTGGTACAAAGGTTTAATAATCCATTTTTCATTAATATCATGTTTCTTGGAACCAGAACATCACATAGATACTAAACCTGTTAATTCTAGGTAGCATACGTTTAATGACAAAGACTAAATTGACATGGAAACATTAACGAAAATTCTAGTAACATTAACGAAAGACAAAGACTTTTAATGATGAACCCTATTTTAATAAAATTCTCCAAAAAATAAAACGAAAAAAAAAATGAAAAATTCTTAAAAATAAAAAACTAAAATTTTTGAAATAAAAAAATAGAATCTAAAATTTTGAAAAAAATAAAACTCTAGAAACTAAAGAATAAAAAATTTTGAAAAAATAAATTATAGAAAAACAAAAATAATTCAAATTCCCAATGATTATTTATATAAAATTTTTAAAAAGTATTTAAATGAACATAGATAAAAACAATCTCAGTCCACAGCATTAAGTTTTATATTTATTTCAAATATTTTGCTACCTCAATATTTTTTATTTTTTTTTAGCGAGAAAAAAATATTGTAAGATTCCTAACTTCGAATGTAAATATCACGTAATAGGATATTAACAAAAAATTCTTCAATTTTATTGAATAATCAAATTTTATGAAACAAAATGTCATATAACAATTTTTCAAAATTTTAAACTAAACGTGTTTTCCAATTTTCTATTTTTGAGAAGCAAATTTTCAAAATAACAAACAAACATTCTTTCAACAATCTTAAAACAAATCCCCAAATCAAAAAATTGAAAATGAACTCAAAATCCAAAACTAAAACATAAACCAAGCGGGCAGCTTATGTTTTCTAAAGCCACATAGAAATCAACATCCTCTTAACCCGAAACCAATCTATTGCAAAGCCCATTGAATTTTTATTTAAGAATGACTCCACAACTTGACATAAATGCAAACTAGTATTACAAGGATCACAATGCTGACCAAATAAAAGAAAATTTTACAACATAAATGAAAGACTATAAGCTATTGCCATTCCCTATTTTTCAATTCATAGGTGAAATGAATGTATGAGCATAATGTATTATAGGAAGGGACACACGAATGCACCTCCTGTTTTCTCGTACACATGCATGCAAAAAACAGACTTTCTTAGATTTCAGCCCCTATATACTTATTTCCTGGATCCGCCCCTAGGAGTTAGGATCCATAATCGCATAAATATAGGTTAATATGATGGTCAACAAAAATATGTACTCTATAAGCGTGTCACTGATAGCTCATCATATGTGTCAGGTTCCAAAAGCATAGAGAAAACTGAGGTTCAGACATTATGAGAATATAGATGCAGCCCATATATACATGAAATGAAATAAAGGAGCAACAATGACTTGATAAAATTATTTGAAACGAAATATTTATCATTAAGTGCTATATCCGCAATCATGTACTCAGGAGTCAGCATTGGCGGATCCAGGCCAGGGTTGGAACAGGCTATAGCCCATGTCAACCTCAGCCCAAGTCCAGTAGCTGTTCATTTTTTTTAAACATTGTGCCAAGTCCAAATTAATAATAGCCCATATAGCCATTAGCCTATGCCCAATACAGAGAAGCTGAAGGGATCTAATGTCACAGGAGTAGAGCGTAAACAGGAGCGACTTTGACTGTTTTATGCATTTTTCAGTTATGTGCTAGGAATAAAAGAAGAAAAACATAATGCAACCTTGAAGGGATCTAATTTCTTTTTGGTCTGTCATCTCTTTAGTTGTCAACAAAGTAGACTACTTCTCAAACTGTTTTCTGTTTTAACTATAGAAATATAGTTTATTTTGAGCAAATTTTAGAAACTCTCGAGGTTATGAGACAACCCCTCTTAAATTTCAAAAACCTCCCTTCACAACATAAGCTTCCAATAGTGTCGTTCCCTCTAATGTTGCACTTATATACATATGATTATTTTTGTTTCCTTATTTTTTTTTTAAAGAAATTAATTTAGACAAAAATTTTGTTTCAATTTTAAAATACCAATTTTATCTTTTGTTTGAAGTTTTGATCTTAATCATATTTTTGTGAATATAAATTCATAATATTTTGCGAATGTTGATTTCTCATTTGATGGAAAAAAAAAAAACCAAAATTGATCTAATACATTTAGCCCTCGTTTGATGTAGATTAAATTCTACTAAAAATTTCAAGTCAAAGTCAACAATTAATTTTAACCATACATTTCATTGGATCAACAACTTTTTAATCATATATTTCATCAACTTTTACTAATATATACTAAAAATCAGGGGCTTAATAAAGCTAAAAAGAAACTAAGATTTAAAATTTTGATGCCAACTTTTTTGCATTTTAATATATAAAGATATTAATTTAATTTTCAAAACTTAGTATAGTATAAATGTTTAAAAATTAAAAAAAAATAAAGAAAATGCTACTAAATCAAGTTGTGTAATTTAATCAATTTTTAGTTAGCTTTATTAAATTATTCAAAAATATTTATAGAGCTACCATTTATTGAATGCTAAAGAGCTCCCAATAAGAGCACTCGCCCGATCATGTTATTGTTACCCCAACTCCATGGGTACAAGATAGTAAATGAGTATAAATGAGTAAATTTGACTAATTTTAGAACCATAACCAAAAGGGAATAGAGTAACCAATTAACATACACTAAATATGAAATGAAGGGAAAAGAATAGGAAATAGAGAATACCGAAGCTGAGAAGTGACTAATTAGAAGGTAAGCTGGAAGAAAGCATCTCGATGATCTTCCTGTCCCGTCTTTCCATCGCAACATCCCAAACATCATTCTCGATGTGTTTCAGTTGCCACGATCCAATATCGGCAATCATATTCATCAATAGGAAACAAACCAATTGGATCTGGAAAAAAAAATGTAAAGAGATAAAGAGAAATTGATAATTACAGGGCCATGGCAGCTTTGTGGATGAAGTATTGAGCATTTCCCGTCACACAAAGCATGCCAGCTATGATTCCCAAAGGTAGCACTGCTTCTAGCCATGTCATCACCATATCTTTTTGACCTCTTCCTCGAGTAGCTGATTCAAAAAATGTGAAAATGGAAATCACTAGCCATTTTGGGCTTCGGCCCATTGTGAAAGACGTAGTTATTCAATGTTGGGAAAATTAGGCATATTACCTAAAGAAATTAAGTATTTGATTAATACCTTAAAACTAATTAAAAACTACTATTACCGTATTAATTACATTCAAAACCTTAACCCCCGCAACAAAAATCCAAATCATAAGGGAAATCCCTGAATCAGATAACTCTCAAGAAACCTCCGATCTCGACTCCTGCTTCGACTTCGACTCCGATGTTCTTGTCGAGTGAAAACCTCAAATGTGTTATGAATTTGTTGAGATGGTGAATATATTGTAATTTATTTCAAAGAATTGCATTTTAAGTTTTGCTTTTTTCTTTTCTTTTCTTTTTTATTTGGTTTTCCTTTCACTTGGTATATAGCAACAAGTCAAGAGTACATTATTTACAAGCTCAAGGAGACGGGCATGGTTTCGAAGAAAAAAATCTTACAAATTTGTAAACAGTTCTATCGGTTGGATACTAGCAAATGTGGAAAGATTACCCTTGCCGATCTTATGGAGAATTGTTCGCTAAAATACAACACCGCAAGTGCACAGGTTGAGTTCAAGTAATAAAGTGGACTTTTTGAATCCGGATTGTTGATCTCTTGAGGAATGTTTACTTTCGATTACACAACTCTAATTCATTTGATTCTAACAATAAAATTATGGTTTTGGAAAAGAACTAGAAATATAGAAAATAAGAAAATATTAAATTTTTGAAAATTTTGGAAGCACGCGTGGTTGGGATTCATGGTTTCGTTTAACCGTCGCCTAATTAATTTCTCCACAAGCTAATTGACAAGCTACTTATTTACGAAGTTAGACCCGATTTTTCAATTTTTGTCAATTACCTCTTTCAAGTGAAATTAACCCTAGCTAATTGATTTAACCTACTATATCTCTATATCGATTAAAATCAAACAACTGCATTAAATCCTTGAAAAAATAACTCAATGGGTCACCTAGGGATAGTGGTATATCTCTATCACCTACACAAATTTAGGATTTCTACTATTTGATCTAAAATGCACAATATTCTCTCAAACGATATACAAATCACTAAACACAATCATTTATTGGCCACATAAATGAAAATGCAATAGTAGAAACACATGAAAATAAACAAATTAATATCAAAGGGTAAAATATTGAAATTAATTAAAGCTAAATTAAGTTACTACCATAAATCCCAATACAAGAAATTAGCCCATATTATATATGTGATAACAAAGGATAATATTCATCCACAAATGATTGAAAATAATAAAAAAAATCCAAGATTTAAGATAAACCCCCTTTTTGGTTTAATTTGCTTGAATCTTGAGTTCCTCAATTAATCTTCACATTTCTTTGATTTACTTTCCTTGTAGTGCTCCAAAATACCAATAAAATGAAAAGTAAAAGAAGAGAAAAAGAAATGAACAACGAAACCAAGAAGAAGAGAGGCTAGGGTTTTCTTTCAAGATGAAAAAGAATGGTTCCAAAGGGTGAAAATGATGTTAAAAAGTGTAAAAACCATCATAGTCAAATTGCAAGAAGAAGACCTGAAGAAATTAAAATGTGCGCACAAGTTTTTCATTTCAAACTGAGGCGCGTGCCTTAGCTTTTTGTTTGTTCTCGGTTGCCCAAAATTTGAGCTAAAGGCATGCGCCTTATCCTTCTTTTTCTTTTTCATCAGTTTGGTCCCAAAAGAATTGCAAGCCTAGTGCTTCAACTTTGATTGCATCAAATTTGGTCCTTAAATTTTGACTTTCATTTCAATTTTGTCCTCCATAAATTGCATCCAAGGTCCTTTAACTTTCTGCATTTGTTCATTTTGGTCCCCCCAACTTCAAGTTTTTGCACAATTTTAGTCCTTTTCTCCTTATTTTGCCTTGTTCTCATTCCATTGATATTTTTGGCATACAAAAGCAAATGTTACCTAATTGTGAGTAGAATTTCATTCATTTTTTTTCAATTATAAGCATATTAGGTATTAAATAAGTGTCCAAAAACATACTTATCAAAAGTCATCACTAGTTTTCAATGTGTTGGATCTGGAAGGATTGTATTGAATGAGATTAACGGCCCGATATGAAGTAATGAAGATCGCAACGAGAAACAAAATTTAAAAGTAAAGAAATTAACAAAGAGAGTTAATCGCAGAAGCACGACATTTTATTAATCAATAATATGAAGAGAAATACAATAACTCAACAATTCTTGCTTGAAAAAAATTGAAAGAGGAGACCACTATTTATAGATACATGGCTTAGCATAAAGATAGAAATAATGTAAAATAAGAAAATAATACATTTCTATAAAAATCACGTGAAATATAAAGAAACAATTTTTCCTACAAGAAAATAAGGAAACAATTTATTTTCAAAATAATCTACCCTAGTTTGGGTCACAAACATAATAATCTCCACCTTGACCCAAATTCTGGTGCAACGAATGAAACTCTGAGATTTCAAATCTGTAACGCCCCAAAATTTTAGAATAAAAGTGTATGCTATATTTTATATTTTGAAGACTTGAGGACTAAAATGGAATAGCTTTTAAATTCATATTTTACTTAGGCTAAATAATTAAGTATCGATAGAACGAGATTTTATATATCGATGTTGGGCTCGTTATGCAGCTCGTATTAAATAAAGTACATTGGACTCGAGAAATAATTATTCTGAGCAAGTTATGTCTATTTTTTTAGGCTAAAAGATATTGTCTAAATTTATAATAAATTATTCATTTTAAGAATTTCCATTCCCACGTGAGCTATATTGTTGAAAAAGAATAGAGAAATATATTTCCCAGTTGGTCATGATTCGATGTTGATAGATGAGGAAGTTTCATTTTTAAAATAATTTATTTACTTTAATTTGGGGGAGTGACAAGAATTGTCAATTATTATAAATTTAAAATTATTTAATTACATTGATTTTGGGAATTTATATATCACGTATAGACCCGTGTAGATTGGATATAGCTAGAATAAAGGAATTTTCTCTCTTTTATGGTAGGAATGATATAAAAATATTATAGTATTGTCAACATCTTGGAAATACACGAAAATCATATCTTGTACCCCCCATTACATCAACTGTATTTGATTGAGATTGGTAATTTCCTTGTTTGAGTTAAAATCAATTGGTTGACTTGTGTGTAACTAGAAGGAAATAAGTAAATTATAGAAAAACGTGTGACTTTATTATATCATATAAATATGATAGATGGTACAAACGGGGAGAAGCTTTGTCTACCATAATAAGTGTTTCACGTTAGGAATAAGAGAGCTGTGATGTATTTTCTTGAACAAAAAAAAAAGAAGAAGTCTTGATCGGGAATCTACTGTCTTTCTTTCAAGAAAACTCTTTTCATCAGTTAAGGTAGGATTACAAGGTGCAAGTGGTTAGTTCCGTTTAATTTATTTCTTCATGTTGATAAATGTTATAGTCATGAAAGTTATGATATGATATGATATGAAATGGCCATCCAGTACCAAAAATATGATATGATATGAGCTCTTAATGGAATCTAAAGATATGATATGATGGTATGATTATTTTGACACATGATTGAATATTTTATTCGGGATCGCACCATTAATCGTGTCCTACTGAGTATTCTTTATACTCATCCCTTTTCCCTACCTTACAGGTTAGTACGAGTCGTGTCAGAGTGCGGCAGCTCGATGGTGTGGTTGTGCCTCATTTCATGGGACAAAACTCTAAAATCTAGCACGTAACTTTATTTCTATTTAATGTTATTGCAATAGACACTTATGTTTAATTTAATTATTTGGACAAGTTCGCTAAAAATTTAGTTGCATGTTTTCTAGGTTATTAACATTCCCATCTCTTTAAATGTTTAAATTGCACTTCGAATTTCAATTAAGATTTATGACATTTGGTTTAAATCCCATCTTACCTTTCTGGCATTTTAAAACTATTGAATGCTAAAACGGACAAGTGGCTTCATAAACGTCAACAGTTATATATTTTTTTTGGTCAGATATCATTAAAAGATTTAAATTCAATGATTGAATACATGTATGGTGCTGTACACTTTATAAAAACAGAAAGTATGCATGGTGCTACATACTTCAATTAAAATCAGACATGTATGTTTTAAAAGTTGTAAAATACTTAGTGGTTGCGTCAATTGTATAAAACGCATGAAAGGAATATATGTATTAAAACTTTTACTCTTTCACTTGACACTATTTTATTTCAGGATAACATTATTATAAACCCATTTTATTTTTGAAGAAATGTTTGGTAGCAACTTAAATTTTAAAGAAAAAAATTGGGACGTTACAGAATGGTATCAGAGTTAAGTGTTTTAAAATCGATTCTGTAGACTCTTAGAAATACGATTTTACTTAAAGGGAATACAGTACTGAGTTCTTGCCATAAGGATCTATATTTAAATCACTCAAACCTCTGCATATATGTACTGGAAATATAACGAATGCATGGAAAGAATTCTGGGAATGGTGAATTGAAATAAGTTATTAGATTTTAATATTATTTTATTGAATTGTTGAAATTCGAATTCAAACGTTTAAAAAAAATGATTTGATATGTCAAAGCAATCTTCTCCTTTTGTCTGCGTGTGAATGTTTATGTTGTACTTATATGTGTGTGTATATAATAGTGTGTGCACTAATTTGTTTGTGTCTCGGTGTTTTTGTTAACATAAAAAGAGTATGTGCATTATATGTATTATAAAAATAAATAAATAAATAAAATGAACAGTGACGGGTCACTGTTCACCCTGTGAATAGTGGAAGAAATTTTTTTAAAAAAAGATGATTGTCTATCTTAAATAACTATTTCAAATGATTGTATATAATCGTTTAGACGAGAATTAGATGAATTTAAAATTGTTACGCGTATGTTGATATTTATTAATTATTAATAATTTTCTTAAGATATAATTTTAAAGATGTGTTTCTTTGTTAAATATTAGATATTAATAATTTTTCTATATATTTAAATAATAATTTAAACTAGTTTCAACGTGAACAGTGATCTAAAAAAAAAGATCATTTTAAATGAATGAGAATAATGCCAAAAACTATTAAGTTAAACGTGGTTATATGCGAATTATCCATTTTCTTAAAGCAAGTATAAGATGAAAGGATTATCGGCACACAACCACCAATCGGCCACCCTCCGACACCCCTAAGGTATGTAATTGGTGAGGAAATGAAGTATTAAATTCAAATTTTTAGTGTAACCTTACATCTAGTATTGCCTACTTTTAAGTTTCATGACATAAAAAAGTCTTCCTTCCTGATGTTTTATTTATCATTTAATGCTTGATTTTATTCCTTATGTAAATGTATACTCGAGTATAAAATACGCTATATCACCTTACAAAACTTAAGCATAACATGTTAGGCTCGGAACTAGTATGTAACGGATGACTTACTATTAAATTCCTTTAGGAAATGGCACCACCACCTACGCACACAAATTTGGTACGTGAATTATTGCGAGCGGTACAACATTTGATCAGACCGAGTTAAGCACTGCCACCACAGAGTGCACCTTCATTTGTCTCTAGAGCCATCTCAGTGGTTGAGCAGTTTCGTAGGTACAAGCCTCTGACTTTCAATGGTGGTTCCGACCCACTAACTGTTGAAGAGTGGATTAGAGGTTTGGAGCGCATCTTTCAACACATTGCTTGTACGGATGCACAAAAGATACCATGCGCAGAATTCATGTTTGTTGAAGCAGTTAGTCACTGGTGGGAATCTGTCTCATGCACTGGGACGGAAGAACAGCAGCGTGACCTAACTTGGGAGCAGTTTAAAGATGAAGTGATGGCAAAGTACTTCCCACAAGCCCTGAGAGATTTCAAAGAATCAGAGTTCCTACAGCTTAGAAAGGGAAAATTCTCACTTATTGATTATGAGAGGCAGATTGAACAACTCTCAAGGTATGCCCCGTACTTAGTGGATACGGAAGTTAAAAAGATCAGAAGGTTTGAAAATGGACTACAACCAGAGATCGGTATAATCATTATGTCTCACCGTTTCACTTCATACCGAGAAATGTTGGAGAGGGCTCATACTATTTCATATCAAAGGACTACATTTGAATAGTATTCTCAATAGGGCAAAGAGTCATGGGAAAGAAGAAAGTTGAATGATCAAAGCAAGGACAAACATAACTGGCCGAATAAAGGACCGAGCACAGGAGTTCACATTGGTGGGACAAATGGGGTTATTACACTTTGTCCTAGGTGTAATAAACCACATAGGGGCAAATGCTTATTTGGGAAGAACATATGTTTCTGATGTGGTAAGCCGGGGCATATCGCTTTGAATTGTACAAAGCCTCCACGAAAGAAGGATGATGACCAGGAAAAGGACAAAAAAGGGAAGGCTCAAGCTTTTGCACTAAATTAGCATGAGGCGGAGCAAGATCCAAACGTGATAGCAGGTATTTTATTATTCGAAGTACCTGTTTATTATGTTCTTGATTTTGCATTCCCCATTACAAAGTCTGACATCAAAATTCTTTAAAAAAAAATAGGTATTTTGTTATTATCTGATGCACCCGCCTATGTACTTTTTGACTCTGGGGCTACAAATTCTTTTATCTCTGCATCATTCGTTATTAAGTCTGGCATTGCATGTGTGAAAATGGATAATGCATTAGAGGTTAGCATTCATTCAGGAAGAACTCTTTCTACAAATAAGTTGACTAGGGCTATAAAGTTAGAGATTGATGGAAATATAGTAATGGCGGACTTATACCTTTTGGAGATGAAATATTTCGACATAATTTTAGGCATGGACTGGTTGGGACTCAATCATACGATAATTCGATATCATGAGAAGGAAGTGTTATTTCATAAACCAGGAGAAGAAGAGTTTCATTTCTTTGGAGCAAAGTCCAAGACTCTACCACGTCTGGTGTCTGCCTTACAAACGGAGAAGATGTTGAGAAATGAGTCATGCCAGGGATTCCTAGTTAATATTAATGGCCCCAAACATACAAAAACAACCGTCAAAGATATTATGTTGTGCAAGACTTTGCAAACGTATTTCCAGAAGACCTACCAGGTATTCCACAAGATAGGCAAGTGAAATTCACAATTGACTTATTTCTCGGAGCGGCACCAGTGTCTAAGGCCCCGTATCGAATGGCACCGAAAGAACTCCAAGAATTGAAGTTACAATTAGAGGAGTTGCTGGAAAAAGGTTTCATTCGACCAAGCATATCTCCTTGAGGCGCTCCAATGCTTTTTGTGAAGAAGAAGGATGGGAGTATGAGGATGTGCATTGACTATCGAGAATTGAACCATGTAACTATCAAAAATAGATACCCCCTGCCAAGAATAGAAGATTTATTTGACTAGTTAAGGGGTGCAATGGTGTTTTTGAAGATCGACTTGAGGTCGGGGTATCATCAGCGGAAGATCAAGGCAAGTGATATACCAAAAACTGCTTTCAGGACTCGTTACGGACATTTTGAGTTCACTGTCATTCTTTTCGATTTGAGTAATGCTCTACCGATATTTATGGACCTAATGAACCGAGTGTTTTATCAGTATTTAGACCAATTTGTTATAGTATTGATTGATGATATACTTGTGTACTCTAAGGATAGGAAGCAGCATGAGGAACAACTCCAAGTAGTACTTGATACTTTGAGGAAGAAGAAATTATATGCTAAATTCAAGAAGTGTGAATTTTGGCTCGACCACATAGGTTTTCTCGATCATGTAGTTACTGTCCAAAGAATTGAAGTAAACCCAATTAAAGTGGAAGCAGTGACTAATTGGCCTAGCCCATCCAATGTAAGTGAAGTTCACAATTTCTTATGATTGGCCGGCTATTATCGCATATTTATTGAGGGTTTCTCAAAAATAGCAGGTCCGATGACTCAGTTAACAACAAAAGGTACGAAGTTTCAGTGGACGGAAAAATGTGAAAAATGTTTTCAAGAACTCAAGTAGAGACTAGTTTCAGCTCCTGTATTGACAATACATGAAGGTTCAGAGGGATTTGTGATCTACAACGATGCCTCCAAGCAGGGTTAGGGTTGTGTACTGATGCAGCATGGAAATGTGGTTATTTATGCCTCGAGACAGTTGAAGTAGTATGAACAAAACTATCCAACGCACGATTTAGAGCTTGCAGCAGTAGTTCACGCCTTAAAGATATGGCGTCATTATCTCTATGGTGGAAAGTGTGAAATTTATACAGACCACATGAGTCTTAAATACTTCTTCACACAGAAAGAACTGAATATGAGATAGAGGAGATGGTTGGAACTAGTGAAAGATTATGACTGCATGATTCATTACCATCCGGGAAAGGGTAATGTAATTGCAGATGCCCTAAGCAGAAAGACAGGATCAAAGTTAGCAGTTCTACCCACGATGCGGAAAAACTTGATAAGGGACTTTGAGAAATTGAGATTGGAAGTTATCACGCCACCGACTCAGACTATAGCAAGAGTAAGAGCGTTTATGATTTGGCCTACTCTTCGGGATCGAATCAAGGTAGCACAGAATAAGGATCCATTTCTATAGAAGATAAAGGCTGAGGTTGGCAAAAACAAATGTATGGGATTTGAAATGTCTGCAGATAATGCGCTGACTTTCAAAGGAAGGTTATGTGTACCTAAAGATGAAAGTATAAGAAATGAGATACTGAAAGAGGCTCACTCTACCCCGTATTCAGCACATCCAGATGGTAAGAAAATGTATCGAGATCTCCGAGATACATTTTGGTGAAGGAATATGAAGAGAGGAATTAATCAGTTCATTGAAAAATGTATTATCTATTAGCAAGTCAAAGCAGAACACCAAAGGCCATCAGAACTATTGAAACCGTTGGATATTCCAGAATGGAAGTGGGAACACATAACGATGGACTTTGTGGTAGGCCTTCTAAGGATAGCAAAAGGTCACAATGCTATCTGGGTAGTCGTTGATCGTTTGACGAAGTCAGACGAAACTGAGTTTAGCACTGCTTATCATCCTCAGACGGATGGACAATCAGAAAGAATCATCCAAACTCTGGAAGATATGTTGAGGGCATGTGTTTTGGATCTTGGAGGTAGTTGGGAGACACACCTGCCTTTAGTGGAGTTTGCTTACAACAATAATTTTCAGGCCATTATAGGTATGGCCCCATATGAAGTTCTTTATGAAAGGAAGTGCAGATCCCCTGTCCATTGGGATGAGGTTGGAGAGAATAGAATTTTAGGTCTTGAAATTATCGAACGAACAGTTGGGGCAGTTGACAAAATTAGAGCTAAAATAAAGACAGTACAGGACTGACAAAAAAGTTATGCAGATCGTAGGAGAAAGGATTTGGAATTTAGTGTGGGTGACAAAGTTTTCCTTAAAGTAGCACCCATGAATGGTGTATTGAGATTTGACACGAAGGGAAAGTTAAGACCGTAATTTTTTGGACCTTTCGAGATCCTTGAAAGGATTAGTGTTGTGGCTTACCAACTTGACTTACCACCTAAACTTGTAGCAGTGCATAACGTGTTTCATATATCGATGCTCAGAAAATATGTTCATGACCCCAATCATGTAATATGTTATTAGACATTGAATGTACAGAAGGACTTATCATATGAAGAAATTCTGACGATGATTTTGAATAGAAAAGTGCATCGGCTAAGAAATAGAGAAGTTCCCCTGGTCAAGGTCTAATGACAAAATCATGGACTCGACGAGCCAACCTGGAAAAAAGAAGATGAGCTTAAAACCAAGTATCCGAACTCTTCGTTTAACCAAGGTAAATTTCGAGGACGAAATTTTTTTAAAGATGAGAGATTGTAACACTCCGAAAATTTTAGAACAAAAGTGAATGCTATATTTTATATTTTGAAAATTTGAGGACTAAAATGAAATAGCTTTTAAATTCATATTTTACTTGGGCTAAATAATTAAGTATCGATAGAACAAGATTTTATATATCGATGTTGGGCTCGTTATGTAGCTCGTATTAAATAAAGTACAATGGACTCGAGAAATAATTATTCCGAACAAGTTATGTCCATGTTTTTTAGGCTAAAAGATATTGTCTAAATTTATAATAAATTATTCATTTTAAGACTTTCCATTCCCACGTGAGCTATATTGTTGAAAAAGAAGAGAGAAATTTATTTCCCAATTGGTCATGATTTGATGTTGATAGATGAGGAAGTTTCAATTTTAAAATAATTTATTTACCTTGATTTGGGGGAGTGACAAGAATTTTCAATTATTATAAATTTAATATTATTTAATTATATTGATTTTGGGAATTTATATATCACGTATAGATCCGTGTAGATTGGATATAGCTAGAATAAAGGAATCTTCTCTCTTTTATGGTAGGAATGATATAAAAATATTATAGTATTGTCAACATCTTGGAAATACACGAAAATCATATATTGTACCCCCATTACATCAACTATATTTGATTGAGATTGGTAATTTCCTTGTTTGAGTTAAAACCAATTGGTTGACTCGTGTGTAACTAGAAGGAAAATAAGTAAATTATGGAAAAATGTGACTTTATTGTGTCATATAAATATGATAGATGGTACAAATGTGGAGAAGCTTTATCTACCATAATAAGTGTTTCACGTTAGGAATAAGAGAGTTACAATATATTTTCTTGAAAAAAAAAAAAAAGAAGTCTTGATCGAGAATCTACTGTCTTTCTTTCAAGAAAATTCTTTTCATCAATTAAGGTAGGATTACAAGGTGCAAGTGGTTAGTCTCGTTTAATTTATTTCTTCATGTTGCTAAATGTTACACTCATAAAAGTTACGATATGATATGATATGAAATGGCCATCCAGTACCAAAGATATGACATGATATGAGCTCTTTCCAGAATCTAAAGATATAATATGACGGTATGATTATTTTGATGCATGATTGAATATTTTATTCGGGATTGCACCATTAATCGTGTCATACTGAGTATTCTTTATACTCATCCCTTTTCCCTACCTTATAAGTTAGTACGGGTCGTGTCGGAGTGTGGTGGCTAGATAGTGTGGTTGTGCCTCATTTCATGGGACAAAACTCTAAAATCTAGCACATAACTTTATTTCTATTTAATATTATTGCAATAAAC